TGGCTACCAAACAAACGGATAGGAAGGTTTGATAAGGGAGGTCAGGGTTCCAATTGGGCTATAGAACCATAGAATTAATGGATAGATAGTTTGGCGTTTTAAGAAAAACAAAAGTGGCTTTTGACATCAATACTTTGCAATGAAAGAAACACATATTCACTATTACCTACCAGAAATCAAACCTCTATTTAAGCAATGGATAGAAGCCGGTTCCTCAGCTCTAAAGAAGGCGAGAATGTTAGTGCCGTAAGATCTAATTCGGAAATCTACAACTTGGCATCATTTTAATACCAATTCTATATTGTTTTACTGTTAAATATAATGTACATGATGATGAGATGCAAAGTTTAGACATCGAAACCGGTTATCTTAGTTCAATTAACAGATTGTGAGTAAGGGCATTGTTTTTTTTTATCTTAGTACACAATTTTAATATAAATTTACAATGTACGTCGATTTAATGGTCAAGATCTCAACCCCAAATTAGTCGGTTAAGAGGTAGTCTACTGTATAAACATAACAAACATTTAAGTAAGTGCTAAATTTGTAGCAAAATACTAACTGTCATAAGGTATTTCATTGGAAATTCTATGGTTAAGTACCTCATGATAAAGAGATAAATGATGGAGTTTGGTAAAGGAGAAGATGGGTATATTAAAATTCAAACAGTATACAATTTTAAGATAATATTCGGTATATGAAGGAAACGTTAAAATTATGTTCACAGATGAAGAGAATATAAAATAATAAGAAAACCAGATAACACGAACCCTAGAAGAACGAAATGCATATAAACGATAAAGGCACAGAAGATATAAAAAGTTAAGTATTCTAACTGGAAGAAATACATTAAAAATAGAAAGTTATGTAACACAATTATAAATCAGGCTAAGTAAAATCAACCTGTGATGAAGGAAAACAAGATACACACTGTATTATTATCAAAGTAACGAAATGATAGAAACAGTGCTGGCAACGCGATAGCGTAACTGTACCAAGGAAAGCTAACATCAATTATGTAATGATAACTGTTTTAGTCAAACGCAAACCTAAAAAGTTAATGTTTGCAAAACAAAAGAGTACCGACATAATAATTGAGTATGGGAATAATTTTAATAAAAAGGAAGAACATCTTCTCAGTAAAATAGATAATTATCAAAAGTAAATGAACATAAAACAGATATTGTTTTTTAATTTCCACTATTGTCACAAAAATCGGAATGATTCTCGTCTCCAATATTTACATATTGTATAATATCTGAGAGTTCACAAGTGTGTGATGTCTTTCGTGTGTGGTATTACGACTAGTGTGGTTTGTGTTCCTTTCAATGGAGACAAATGCGTGCCGCTTTTACACCTGTAAACTGTGTCACGAGTCACAGGTGAGACGAACAATCTCAACTGAAGGATACATTTATTTTAATGTTTGTCCAGGTGTGTAGAATATCACATTGACAGCTGTGATATCTCGTATGCCAATATGCAACCTATATCTGCAAATTGGAGTCAAGATAGTGTGTATTATAAAGTGTATCATGTAAGTTGCATATCATATATAATATAATATATATATATATATATATATATATATATATATATATATATATATATATATATATATATATATCTTATTGATAGGTCCCATATACTGCGATCAGGTTTATGGCGTAGGATCTTAATGGATAGCTACGTAAACTTATTTAACGAAACATGTTACGATGACAAGTAAATGCAGTGAAAATTAAAAACAATATTTTTATATATTTAAATACTTTTTAACACGAATCTTTATCAAGTAACAACAGCCGAATATATACATAGAAAGAAATTCATACAAAACCTAAGAGGCAAAAAAATTGTTAAATCAACATGAGCCTACTAAAAAGTAACAAAAGAAATGCTAGACAAATAGCTTAAGAACAATGCATTGGAAGACGAGAAGATATTTGGTGAAAAATTACTACTAATATAAAAATAAATAAAAACACACCAAAAACAAATGGGAATATCAAAGGGGTACCCGATATAATTGATCAGGTAACAAATATAATAGAGGAAAATAAGCAACCAATAGATAAATATCTACTATTAACCAGAGATTATCATTATTATGTTGGCAAAATCATGAAAACAGCATTTTTAAAAGCTTCTTGTGATAATGCCATATTTTAATCAATTTAATAATATATCCTAATGAAATAACCAAAATGGTCACAAATAATTTTAAATGTTCGAAACTTAAGTACTCTCCCTAAACGTATCATTATACTAATCTCAACAATATTATAACAGCTGCTCAGATATTGACCAACAACTAATATAAAAAATTTCTAATAAAATTATAAATCACACAAAGTCAATTTACCACCTTTAACAATTGAAAGGTCATATTAGGCCTACTAAAAGTTTTAATCAAGTGTAACCCTCCAGTGTGTTACCCTTTATCATATATTCTATTAGCTGAAAAATATGAATTATTAGCTTATTATGTATTTGAATTTAGTAGCAGTTCGTTCTCACTGTCGTGCCAGCCTTTCCTGTAGGTTATCACCAGTCCAATGATAGTAATGAGAACTCCTATGCCTAGAAGACCATATCCTGTGTAAGCACCGATAGGGCTCAGTAACAAAACATTTTTAACCGAATCGGCCAAATCACTGGTAAGATCGGCTTGTTGAGAAAACCAAAACATGGGCATAACTGTCGATTTAACATTTTCTAGAATTCTGAAACAAAAACACTGTGTTATCATTTATTATATAAAAATGAAGCCTTTCCCTTTATTTCCCTATGTCACGCCATAACTTAAGAACGACTTTACTGATTTATTTCATTTATTTCTTTAAAAGTTTTCTAATATTGTGTAGAAGGTTCTTATGGAAAGACAACTGAAGAAAAAAGTGTTTTAGCATCAAGATCAAAGTGCAATTTTGTATTTGAAGCAGTCAGTCGTTAGACATTGGAAATAGTAAATTCGCTATTGACAGGTCGACCGGATTCATCACATTACTTAACGAATTACTTGATTTAAATAAAAAAATGTTTCATACTTAATGTGTTTCACTTTTTCCATCTTCAGGTTCAGTTGAATCTGGGCTCTGACAGAAAGGGGTAGTCCAGTTTCTGGTTCTAAAGCTAAGAACATTTCGTGTTTCTCCTTATTTGGTTCTAAACCGTCGACATCTGCTAAAAAGGCGGGATCTGCTTCATAGAAGTGAGGGAATGAAACAAAAGCTGGAGCTCCATATCTAAATAAGACAAAAAATATAACTATAAGAAAAATAATTAACATCATGATACAAATTAAAAATAATTGTTCAAGATGATTGCAGTACAAAAAATGGTATTAGGAAACTGGTTAGGTAACTCTGCCATACAAATAAAGTTCTGAACTGATTGCGTTTGAGATTGTTAGTAAACTTGTTGTATTCATCACAGCATGGCAAGTCAATCCAAGTTATGAATCCTCGTTATAGACACTATGCCTCTTCAAGGTATGGGGTCTCTTTAGTAGTTGGATTAAATAAACTACAGCTATTTATATCCGCTCTTCTTCTTCTCGGTCCAAGACCACCGCTAAGTTACAAGCTTCTTAGTCCTAACAAACGATTCTTTCCAGAATTGTTTGGTGTTTTTGTTGTAACGCATGACAGTTTTTATTACTTGACTTCTTCTTTTAGTTCTAAATTCCTACCATGTAAATTTCAACAGCTATAGCAGAAGACAACCGTGAACACTCTTCATCTTTTCGATCCTTTTCCAGCACCTTTACCTACATCTAAGATTTTTCCACTGCTTCGCAGGTTTGGTCCAAGTTTTGCTTGACTCCTTGATTCTAATTAAAGACTGTTCTCAATCATACTTTCAGATTAACTTAACCTGTAACTCTTGACAGACAAAAGAACTCTCACAAACATTCTAGATGTAAAGAGCCGAAAGGAATTTGATCAATTATTGGTAAAAATAAAATATAGGTGCAGAATCTCGAGAACTAAACAAAAGTGCTAATCCTCTTATGCCCACTCTTAAAAAATGGGCTCTTGTGCCCAGCCTTAAAAAAAATTGAGCTCTGATGGTGTTATCGAGTTCTAGGTGATCTGACACGCAGGCGTCTTTTTCAAATTTTTTTTTGAACATTGAGAGCAGGACCACATTCTGCAATGTCTTCAAGAGATGTTCACAAAGACCAGTTGTTTGATGATCTTATTATTCATCATCATCAGTGGTGCTACAGCTCTAGTTGAGCCTTGACCTTCCCCAGTCTATTTCGCCAGTCGTTTCTGTTCATCGCCAACCGTTGCCAATTTGCCACGCCGATTTTCCTTGCGTCCTCGTCCACACCGTCCCTCCATCTCAGTCGTGGTCTGCCTCTACTCCTATTTCCCACTGGGACCGATAATAGAGTTCGTCTGGGTGGGTAATTTTCATTTGCTCTTGACACATGTCCAGCCCATCTAAGCCTACCTATTTTTATGAAGGATATTACATCTCTACCATTTACTATTTTTTTATACTTCTCGTACAATTCGAAATTATATCGCCTTCTCCAAATACCATTCTCACAGAATGCGCCCATTATTCTTTTTGCGTCTGTTTTGGAGATGGTCCATGTTTCTGACCCATATGTCAGCACTGGTAGGATGAGTGTTCGATATATTATTAGTTTGGTTTTCTGGCTTAAATTTCTGTTTTTTAGCTGCTTGCTTAGTCCAAAATAACATTTGTGATCTTATTATTATCCACATTTAAACCATATACTCTCACTTCCTCTGGGAGGAAAACTCACTGATCCCAGATACCTAAGTGTTAAGTTTTGATGGGACTCTTTTCGTGTTATCGAGTCATAGGTGCCTAGTACACCGCAGTGTTATTATTATAATAAAATAAATAAGAGAAGAGGAGCAAGCTCCTATTATGCCCAAAAATAAAGAAAACTAACAATATAAAACTAATGACAATTACAGAAAATGAGGAAAATTAAAAATACACAAAAGGAAAATTTAAAAAAAAAACGCAGTTCTATAAATGAAATATAGTAGTACTAAATAAGTCTGATATTAAATATTTAGACAAGAAGTTTACTTTGGACCTTGCTGACGTTTTAACCATCTTTAAATTGTACTGGTGGCCTCTTAATCTTTCTTCATGGGTCAAGGTAAATATGGTATTAAGATTTCCAAAATTATATTTTAGAATTGAGAAGAATATAATGAGGCCAACTCGAAGACGTCGATCTCTAATGTTGTTAGAGTAGCCATGGAGAGTGTAAGATCTTACACTGCCAAAGCTAGTCTTTGACAAATTTGACAGGAGATTTACTTCCAGGTCTCGATCTTGTAGGCATTGGTCATATTTTGAGTGAATTTTTGTAATTAAAAATAATATATATGGAATGTACAGACCAAGAATACCAAACAGGGAAATATTTGTCAGTACAAATAAATAATACCACAGAGGAGTTGTAGGAAGTTGGGTGGTATGAATATCTAGAAGCAATTATGAGACGAAAACCAAACACAAAAAACGAAATGCAAAATAGAGTAATAGGCGAGCGGTTTACCCCTATAAGCAGAGCATCAACCGACTAAAATTCTTTTTGCATTTTTAATGCACCAAACCTTTTTTATTCGATTCTATATATTTTTTCAAGATGAAATGTATTTTTTTTTATTTTTACAAGTGGGCCGGCAATTGTTATTAACAAATAACTTATACCATAAAGCAATTTCACCGAATTGCTTCGGAATCAATTTTTTTAGGTGTATCTCATCAAAATAAACACTTTTTCTCTCTTGATAATTTTTCGAAAAATGCTTTCTTTTCTATTTATTTGCATTTTTTTCTTGAAAAAATGCCTTAATTAGTGATTTTTGGGATTTTTTTTTTTCTAAAAAAACTACTAAATGAATTGCGATTCTACAAATAGCTTTATAATCTTTAAACCGTCGAGTACAAGTTAGAATATTTTCACATGGATAATTTTTTTCTATCTTGCTAAAAACGTGGACCCAAATATTTTGAATATGCCTTTCGAGAGTTTCCCGCTAAGCGTATACAGCGGTTAAGGTGCTGTAGGCGCTCGAATCTTTTCGACTTTTTAATAATGTAATATATATATGAAAAATATCTGATAATTGATTAAATGAAATTTTAATTGTATTTAATACTACGTAGGTAAGTAAACACTAGGTTACAATTACTTCTATTCTACATTTCACTACAAATTCCTTAGATAATTCTAAATTAGCACCAGCGATATAGACTTGTTTTAACTTGTTATTGCATTGCTTTTTTGTATACGTTATTTGTTAATAACAATTGCCGGCCCACTTGTAAAAATAAAAAAAATACATTTCATCTTGGAAAAATATATAGAATGAAATAAAAAAGGTTCGGTGCATTAGAAATGCAAAATAATTTTAGTCGGTATATTCTGTTTCTAAGCGTCTTTTGAGGGGTAAACCACTCGCCTATAATAAAAGTAAACAAGTGTGTTTATAAATTAAATAGGTTACTAAGAAATAAAATAACCATATTAAAAGGTGCCGAATTAAGAATATAAAGAAGGATTATTAGACCTATAGTAACATGTATAACAGAATTGGACATTAAAAAAATAACAGCAAGAAATGGTACAGATATAGGAACGAAAAGTTCTAAGGAAAATATTTGGAGGTTAGGTTAAGTTATGTTCAATTTTAGTGGGCGCTTAACCATCCTTCCTCTCGGCCTAAGAGGTCTATTGTGGGTCATACCTAGGTTAAAGTTGTCCCTTCAGCCCAACCTTTTTAATAGTCTATGATGGCCTTAGGTGACATCAGATATTTGAGATTCTGAGAACTGTTCAACCCTGAGTAGTTACACAAATATTTGGAGAAAAATGGAGAACGGCATTTGGATCAGAAGGATAAAAAAAGACCTGGAAGAGTTAAAATGGGGACCCCAGCATATTAGGAGAAATAAAAACGTAGCTAAGATAGATAGGAGACATTTTGAAGATGCCAGATGGCAAACTACCGAAAATGGTACTATCAAGTGCAATAGAAGCAATTGACAAGAAAGGACAAGGGAATGGTCAATCAAACCATGGGCCTCTCTATATATAGCGACGCACTAATAATATTTATTAAAAGTATGCTCATATTTTTCATTTATATTATTCTGTTCTACGGTTCTCTTTATTTTTCAATATTGTTTAAATTAATAATGTTAACCACTATACTGCATGTTATTAAAATGTTTTACTTACTTGCAAAGTGAGACATTTCTGACACCTGAGAGCTGGTGAGTGACTCCTTTACCCTTGAAACAACCCATTTGAGGATACTTGGTGCCATTATCGAAAGTTTTATCGTTTCCAACAAATTTATGCCCTTTCATTCCATGGAGTGTATAGTCGCCGTTCCAATCTAATTCGATTGAACTAAAACCAGATAGTTAACTGTTATTATTCTTGTTGTAGCTTTAAAAGATTTTTAATTATAAAAGAATGACAAAAAAAGTAACTAACGTTAGAGAGAAGTTTGAGAAAAATTAACATGACTAATTAACATAATGGCGAAGCTGTATTCAAACTTAAACTGTAATAATTGTTGATATTGGACCTTCTGATAACATGATAACTAATCTACAACAGTTATAGTGGATTATAGTTCTCAATGGAACGCAATTTGGTCCATACTTATTTCATCTTTCTTTGCAGTATGTTTAGGTACACCTAGAATTTTTCTAAAAATTTTCGGGCTTCCCAGCCGTTTTCGTAAACCTTTCCACGCAATAATGTCCAAAACTCTATGGGACGTGTTTGTAGAAACTTTGGAGAATTATCTTCTTTTTGTACATAATTCTGGTCCAAGTATCCAACTAGGAGATGAGAGTATAAAGTTCATCATCCACAGCTTCTTCCCGAATTTGGCAAACAAATGGTGTTTAAATTCCACTCTCAGAATAATTGCCCACTTTTTTGATTCTGTCAATCTCAGCATAGAATATATCTAGCTCTTCCTCTGTGCGTTCTCACGTTCGTACGTATATCTGTATTATGTTGATATCAAATGGTCGTCCATTTAACTTTAATAGCATTATTCCGTGGCTGATTGACAAAAAATCTTTTATTTATATATTGTTTTAAAGTAGGTGTAACCAATATTCTCACTCCTGAATGCGCGTCAGCTCTTCCTGAATAACAAAGACGATGTATATTTGCATAACTCTAACAATATAACCCTCAACTTTCAATATTAATGCATTTGCCTTTTCCATTCTATGCCTTTGACGATTAGACTTCGTTCATCCGTCGTTGGAGACGATTTATACCTTCTAGGACAAGAGACTGCCCTTGCGTGACTCGTGCCGATGAGAGAGGGGTGACGTCAAAGCTTATACCGGCGTTTTCCCTACAACATAACCCACCTGCGTTAGCATTACAGTTATTTTCGTTTATTGAGATAATATAGGCATTTCTTGATGCTCTCCAGTACTTTTACACTCCTATAAAACTAGATTGTACCGTTCTAAGAGGCGGTTCGTTAGTACTTAGCTTCACCGCCCGATGGCACCACTATCAAAAGAGAAAAGCACTATCGTGTAGTATATTCTAACGCAAATGTCAAAATTTCAGCCTAATCGGACTCAAAGTATTTTGTTGTTAATTTTTTTTACAGCATTATGGCTTAAATGATAGTTTTATAGCCAGTTACATTGATATATACGATTATTTTATACGATAGGATAAATACGATAAAGAAAAGACTTTTTAATAAAAATTCTCATTCTAGACGAATTTTAACTCAAGACTAATATATTCTTAGATAAAATGTATCAATTAAAATAATGAACTTACCTACACAAATCGTTTGAAAAAATTTTAACAGATTTTTGGTCGTGAGGGGGATACCACAGTTCCCCTTGAGTACCTTCGACGTCTCCACATGTCCCTTCATAATAAGGCACGTGAGATTGATAATTCCAATTTCTAACAAGACCTAGAGTATTAATTGAATTAGCTCCATTGTCCATGTTCCACATTCCATCGTATGGAGCTGAGTCGTTTCTCTAAAACCAAGAAATTTTATAAAGCATTACAGGAAATAATTAACCAAATAAAACAGTCCAATCCATCTAATAATGATAGGGATTTAGAAGAACAGTTAGAAGTCAGAACAGGGGAATAGGATGAGTGGGGATTTCAAGAGAAGAAAATAGAAATGAAGTAATAATGATTGAGTTTTATAGAACAAACAATTTAAAAACAACATTCTTTCTGGGAGCAAAATTTGTATAATAAATATACCTATGTAGCAGAAGGTAAAAGCGCTAAAATCACTACAAATTATATAGTACACACAGAAGATACATTTCGCAGACCTAATAACATTAAAACTGACAAATGTACAGAAATAGCCACATAGCATAGGCTAGTAACAGCAGAACTAAACACAATAAATGAAAATCATAAAGAAAGTAAGCACAATCTTGAAAATTATTACAATGCATGGTACATATGAACTGTATTCTCCTCATTGCTAATAACATAAGATTATGATAATGGTCGAACGATAACCACCTATCCACCCCCTTCACTACACAAGTTGGAGTGCCAAAGGCTCAATACTCGCTCCAATACTATAGACAGTATACAACAGTGACATTCCCCGCCCACAGCAAGGATCAGAGTCCCTCCTACTCTATGCTGATGATACAGCCATGCTCACTTCTGGCTCTCACAGGGAGTGTGAACGGCGGTCTGTATTCGAAAGATCGCAAGAATATCTTGACAAAGTTGTGAAGTGGTGCAACAAATGGAGAGTGATCATAAATCCCTCCAAAACACAAGCAATTCTTTTTAAATCCATGATAGGATGAGACAGAGGTTTAATTTCCTGAAAGTGCTAACCGGTAAAATTGGCGAGACATCTTCCAAAACTTTGTTGCACACCTACAAAACTTTTGTCAGACCGATCATCGAGTACAAGGCTTGCGTCCACATCTCCCTCAAGAGCCATCAACTTAATGCCATTGCAGCTACTGAACGTAGAATACTTAGATACTGCATGAGGAAAGACTGGTGGTATCCATCAGCCCACATATACATATTGGCCAACATCACACCAATCAAGGACAGAATACTATCCCTCAGCAGGAAGTATGTCCTAAGAACCATAGCTGGCTCGAATAACAGCAAAACAAACACTTAAGACTCCTTGCAATCACAGAGGGCAAATACTCACCAGGTTTCCCACTAAGAAAGTTCCATTTCCTCCAGAAAACTTCTCCACAATACTGGACATGAACTTCCTGATGAGTATTTTGAAAATTCTAGAATCATTCCCCATACAATATCGCAGATAAAGACTGCGCGCCAAAAACGCTAATAAAGAGCCGTTCCTACTGTATGGCTGGTAACCCCCGAAGTACCTAAACTGGCATGCTAGACAATTCCCACTTCCTCTTGTGCGCTCCTATCGATCACACATACAAGTCACCTTCTGCTTCCCCCTGTTCCTTAGTAGTCCACTACTTCTTAACATCGGGCATCGTGCAATTGGCGTTTATCACACCCCCACTACTCCGTTAAAAAAGGGAGTAACCCATTCCTTGAAGAGGCCCAGGCCTAAACAAGGTTAAAACTCTAGTGTCATGTCGAACGATAATTGATGGTAGTGTTTTTATATATACAAAATTTAGTTCACAACAATACTTGTGAGAAAATTATGGATGACAAAAGTGGAGAAAAAAAAAGAAGATTTTGCTGCTTCATCCTTAGATAAAAACGTTTTATAAATATGAATTCATACACATCATCAATCCAATCTAAAATTTAATCAACAAGCTTACAATGGACTACCTAAGCCCTATTGTCACAATGGGAGGGGATTTTAAAAACCTTTCCAAACATTTCTAATTTATTAAGAAGTTGGAAATATTGTTTTTTTAATTGTTTGAAGAATAAATAAGGACTTTTGGTTATAAACATTCATTCTGCGTAATCGGTATTATGTGTTGTCTGTGAATTTGTGAGGTAGGATATCAAAAGATTAATATATTTACTATGAATGTTCATATTTTAGATATAGGAGATACTGCAGTTGATTCTCAAGAGAAAAATAGAAGTTTAAAGAGGTGCAGGCAGAAGGCAGGCTTTTTGGCTGAGAAACATTAAAAATTGGACCGAAAAACGAAACGCAGGACTAATTTTTCATATGACAAAAGACCATAAAAATTTTGCCATGGTGATCGCCAAAACTGTAATATAAATATTACTTACATCTACAAACCATCCAAATTTCTTAAAGGGTATGTTTAAACCAGTTATATTTAATTTTTGGACTAGGTTAAGCAAATCATCTTCGTAACCTTCAAACGTGAATTCTTCTACAGTTTTGGTAACCGTCAAATTGATCTTGTATTCCTCCAAGAAAAAGTCTACTCCTATAAGTACTATGTAGTTTTTGTCCTTAACTAAGCTGGCTATCGACTGTAAAAGAAAAAAATATTTGTAGAAACAATTAAGAAATAATATAAATATTAAAAACTACGAAAATCTCTTTAATATAATTAATGTAATGTCTGTAATATAATTACAGACTACTTTTAAGCCGTACTTGGTAAGGGTGACGATAATGAACTATCAACACCAGAAGTGATGATAAACGAAGAAATAAAACACTAACAAAAGAACAAGGTTGATTGGGAAGATCATGCATCAACGCTATATTTATAACGAAACAAGGGCAAGATAGATCATTAAAATACAGCAAACCGGCTTATTTATGTTTCGTGGCCTGGAGAAGATATTTGATCGGGTCAAATTTAAGACAGTTATCCACTTATTGGACGTAAGAGAGATACCTCTAGGAATAATCAAAACGATTGAAAATATATACCAGAACAACACAATAAAAGTAAACGTAAAAGAAGAACTAACTGACTGAATTGCGACTGGCAATGGGATAAGACTCTCTGAGCCCTCTATGTTTGTTCAATCTGATCATGGACAAAATAATGAAAAACTAAAAACGAAAAGAGGATACTAAATGAAAAAAAAAACAACCTAAAATAATCTGCTATGCAGACGAAGCAACACTAATCTCTCAAAGTGAAGATGGTTTACAATTTGTGGTCACCAATTTAATATTATAATCGCCAAAAAATTTAACATAATAATTTCAGCATGAACATAAATGTCCTAAGATGTAAATTATAGAAGGAGAGGCAGTTTAGTTATTCATTACATAATTTTTTTTAACCTTCGGCCGGTCGTGCCGCAGTAACTTGCTGCGTAAACTCAGTGGGTGCATCCAGACAACCTTAGCGGTTGACCTTAAGCACAAATCGGCTTAAATCCAGCAAGCAAAAACTTCTAAACAGTTTTGTCAACATTTCATTTCATATTTGACGTTTCGACGAATCTAACCTCAATATTTACGTCTCATCTATTCATCTATTACTCTTTTTAAAAGTGTGTAAGAGTTTAACATCTAAAAGGGAATATGAGTGGTTTGTTGACAGAATATGGTTGAAGACAGCAGAGTTAGTATAGCAAATATCTGTGTTTTTGTATTTATTAATTAATTTTGGATGTTCTAAAATGCGTTCTGCCACTTTGACCATGTAAACTGCTTTACAAGAAGCACAACCAAGCTTATAAAACCCTTGAAACCCCAGAAACTTGTGTAGCATAGGAACTACATCTTTGTTGATAAATGATCTGATATTAATATTAGACTTAAGAGCTACATGTATGTTATATTTTAAGAAGATCTTGTGTATTCTTGTGCATTTCAGATTTAGATTCTCCTACATTTATAACTGATGATGACAGATATGTCGAAACGCATCCTATGTGTTAAAAAAATTAAGATTGTTTTTACAATAATTCGTGGTTTTACTTAGAGGTAATAATTGTATTATCTTACAAACCACATTATAGAGATACTTTTAATTATAAATAAATCACTAATGTTCTCATGCAATATAATAGAATATTCAGTACACATTCCACCTGTAAAATTTTAGTTTGTAGAAAAACTGTGGCTCTTATGCTAGTTTTGTCATAAATTTTGATATCTATTTTATCTTTAAAACGACTTCTAAAATCGAGACAGGATAATTTTAATAAAAAAATATTGTCCCCCGCAAATACATTTCATTCATAGTTCAGATAACGATTTATCAGTAATATTTTTACCGATCGGACAAATAACTATATTAATCAAGTTAATTCGATTTAGATATTACATGTACTTAAAACTTTTGAAAGGTATTGCGTAAAATTTTGATTTAACGGTATGAGAAGGTTTATTCGGAGCAAAAATAGTAGAAACAGTGAAATGGAACGGAACGGAATGAGAGAATGTATTCTTAATATAATTTGGAAAAATATGATATGAATTATATACCAAATAAATGGACTGCCGGAGTGATGACGTAGATTTTATTGACATCTGTCAATTTCGCTTTCCAAATAAACCTTGTTTAGTATGGATAATTTGAATTTTTTGTTATTTTTTCATTTTTTTTTACAGAATCTTTCCACTTCTTGCAATATCTAAGTATTCTAATAGTTACTACAACAATTTTACAAGGTTGTGTAAATAATAAAGCATCTTGTTTTAAAAAATATCAATAAAATGCATGTATCAATAAAGTAACGTAAGGATTTCTTTAATTTAAACTTTTAAACTATATTTCATAGAAATAGAACACCGAATTATGATATTATTATCGTAAAAAACACTATACTCAAAAGAAACAGCAGCAGCAACTTAACTTTATAGAAATTAAAAAGTCTAGAGATTGGGCATTTTAACTTTTGTTTGGAAATTAATAATAAGAATATGGCCGCCGTGACGTCACACTCCGGCTGTCCATTGATGAATACTCCAATTGTAAGAGACGAAAATAACACTGAACCTCTAAAAATTATACGAACAAGCTGAATTTTGCTGCGAATGTCAACTATGGGACCCGGAGAAATTTTTATCCTGGAGGTTTCATTCTTATGCACAAAAGGTCTCGTTCTTGCACAATTTCTTATTCAATCTGTTCCTCGATATCAGTTAACTTGTCAGAACTCGAAAAATTGAAAGAATCGTTAGATTGTTCAGAGTCCTCCATGACTACCTAAATTTTATTTTGTTTAACTGACACTTGTTTTTCATCTTCTAATGCCAATGTTTTTAATCTTTCCACCCTTTCCTCCTCCTTTTATTTTGCTTTTTCTTATTCTTAGCTCTTTCTTCAAATTTTTTTTCTATTTGGTCTTTTTCGGGGTTGTCCGTTAAAATCCTTGTTTTCCCACATTTCCTTCCAGCTTAGCTTTTACGTGGAAGAGCTTTCGGAAATGACCTTATAACCTCAGAGCTTACAAATGCATTTGGATTATTTTGGGAAGTATGAGGGGTAGACAAAAGTAAATTGTCTGTAGCCTGCAAAGCTTGAAATGGATCTGGCCGGTCTGTAATTTCCGCACTGGTAAAATCACTATGTGTAAACACAGCTGGATTGTATGGACAAATATCAGTATGTGAAAACCCACCTATGATATTGGCAGGTGTAAAAGCGCGAACGTAAGCTTGTTCCCACAAGTTCAGGAATTTATTTTAAGGATATCAGCTGTGCAGGATTGTTAACCATCCAGTTATCGGCTGCTTCATTATAAAATATTTTAAGTGGCCAAAAAACGTTGGTATCCAAAGGCTGTAACTTATGGCTAGTATGAGGGGAAATAGTGAGTAGTATTACTCCATTGTTCTTACAGATGTTAAGCCCTTTTGGCAAAATAGAGCTATCATGGTTATCTAGTCAGTTATCTAGTTAGCAGAAAGTCAAATCCGCAGAACAGACAACATAGATGAAAAACTTAAGTATATAAATACTATAATAAGAACTACGGGAAAGAAACACCTAACCAAATCTGCAAAGAAACATAAGGTGTGGATGACACCAGACATTCTAGAACTAATGGATGAAAGACGTAAAATGAAGAATAATGCAGAAAAATACAAAGAGGTTGATAAGAACACAAAGCAAAGAATAAGAAATGCCAAAGAATCATGGATTACAGAACAATGTGTAGAAATGGAAAACTATGAAAGAAAGTATGACACGTTCAATATACATAAAAAAGTAAGAGAAATTACAGGAACCCAAAGAAGACGTCAAATAAGTTTGCTTAAGAACAAAGATGGAAAGATTATTATAGATTTAACAGAGAAAATTAATAGATGGAGTGAATACATAAGAGAATTATTTGAGGACAACAGAAATAACATTGTTCTGATATATGGCGAAACGGGACCTGAAATTCTAAAATGTGAAGTAGAAATGGCACTTAAAAATTCCAAAACTGGGAAGGCAAATGGACCGGATGAGGTTCCTACCGAATTGCTAAAGCTCTTGAATGATGAATCAATAGGTATAATATTGCACTCATTTAATACAATATACAATACTGGTATTATACCTCAAGAGTGGCTGTTGTCTACATTCGTTACACTGCCAAAGAAATCTAATGCTAAAGAATGTTCAGAACATCGAACAATATCTTTAATGAGTCACCTACTAAAGATATTTCTAAAAATCATCCACAACCGAGTTTATCAAAAGTTGGAGTCAGATATTAGTAATACACAGATGGGGTTCAGAAAAGGGCTTGGTGCTCGAGAAGCTCTCTTCGGTTTGAATGTTCTCACACAAAGATGCCTAGACGTTAATCAGGAGGTACATACGTGTTTTATCGATTTTGAAAAAGCGTTTGACAGAGTACGCCATGATAAGCTTAGAGAGATTCTTGAAAGGAAGGACATAGATAATAAAGATCTGCGAATAATTCTCAATCTATATTGGAATCAGAAAGCTAACATCAAAATAGAAACTGAAACATCACAAGCAATAGAAATACGTAGAGTAGTACGACAGGGTTGCATTTTGTCACCTCTGTTATTTAATGTATATAGTGAAAGCATCTGTCAGGAAGCGCTTATACAAGCAATCGGAGGAATCGTAATTAATGGAGAGATTGTAAATAAAATTCGATACAGACATAAATATTGCTTGCAACAATTATGGTATAAATATCAATATTAAAAAAACCAAGTATATGGTCTTCAGTAAAAACATGACACAACCAGTGTATATTAGTATAAACGGCACTCAAGTTGAAAAAGTATCAAGTTACAAATACTTAGGGCTTCAATAAACGAAACTGGAGACCAAAACAGTGAAATAAAAAGACGTATCGAAATTGCCAGGTCCACCTTCATAAAGATGAGAAAATTCTTCTGCAACAGAAATATAAGCATCCCTCTACGATTAAGAATGCTGAGAGGCTATGTATTTAACACGCTATTATACGGTGTAGAGGCCTGGACTCTCAAACAGAACAACATGAAAAATATTGAAAGTTTCGAGATGTGGTGCTACCGTCGAATGCTGAAGATTAGTTGGGTTGAAAGAATAACAAACTGTGAAGTAATACGAAGAATAGGAAAAGATCCAGAGATTTTGTTAACGCTAAAGCGAAGAAAACTCGAATATTTTGGTCACCTGATGAGAGGACATAAATACGCATTACTTCAAAATATAATGCAGGGAAAAATAGAAGGAAAACGGAATCCAGGTCGTAGAAGAATGTCATGGTTGCGGAATTTGAGAGAGTGGTTTGGCTGCACCACTAATGAACTCTTTAGGTCAGCCGTAAACAAGGTCATAATAGCCTTGATGATTTCCAATATCCGATAGGAGTGGCACAAAAAGAAGAAGAAGAAGGTTTTCTAGAATCAGCAGACACTTGTGATTACTATTTAGCCACAAAAACAACTTTTTACTCTAACTTTCCTAATAGACTTAGATTTGACATGGGATTACATTTAAGTATTCGTTATGTTGTAATATTTATGCTCAAACCTACCACTGGCTCAAACCTCCCTAGTCTCCCCTAATCATGTCCTGACCAATACCAAATAAGGAATATTTATTATGAGTTACTTAAGCGCACACTGTACTAACGTATTTGTCAAATAAATCGGAAGAAGGGGAGAGATTAATTGGCTCATAGACTACCAGACCTGACCTCGCATTTTCTAGTGGCTACTTAAAACAGAGAGTAGATGTTTAATCTAAGAGATAAGTATGCAAGTAAAACTTCATTGTTTCCAAATATCTTTTCTTTTGAGTACACGAAATGGTTTAGTAGATTCAATCTTAATAATAAATCATTTAATCTGATGCCTACTTGAATAACATTTAAAAAATTATTTTATTAAAAATATGGGCCAAAGTATATTAATTAATGTACATAGTGATAAAAATTCAAAGAATTATTATATTCTAGACAATTGATGCATTTGATTGATACGTGATAATAATTTATTTTATAAATATGGCATTGAAATTAAAAAAATATTTTTTGATATGGTATAAACAATATTTTCTGATAAAATCAATCGAATTGTTAACGATACTTACTGCCACAACAGGATTGAAAGTCGTAATTTGATCAGTCAGTTTTCCCACAGATTTGTCTGGTACAAACGTCCATGTCCTTCTGTTGTAAAAGGATATTGTGGAATTATCATTAATTGTAATATTGTCCCTTACATGATGTTCGTGGTAAGTATAAGGCCCCAATTCAACAAAACTCGGCTTGATAGAGGAATTCCTTTGGTATTCTTCGGCGTTAGTCCAATTGAAAAAATAAAATGACAGATAGATCGGTATTGGTGTTTCCTTCCACATACCGAAGGCATTAGTCTCTGTTGAGGATAAACCAAGTTCCTGAAAAATAAAAAAAATGATTTGGTATTACATTAAAAAAAAGGGCTTGTATTATAGATTTAATCCTTTCACTCCTGTCAGGATATATATATATATATATATATATATATAATATATATATATATATATATATATATATATATATATATATATATACTTTGGAGGATAACTTTCGGGAAAGCGTCAAAACAAGGATCAGCTAGAGATGGTATAAGCCAGTTTGGTGTAGAACTTTATTCTATATGTGAAATTTTCGGTGATATGTTGTCACCTTCATCAGCACCTAAATGGAAAACCTATTTTAGTACAAGTGGTGGAAGTTAACATATAAAACCTACATTGAAAATGTTCAGTTGGTCCTAGAGTTGAAGAACACTGTCACAAACATGTTAAAAATATTAAAAATTACATTTAAAATTTTGATAAAAAAAATATTATTTTTTTATAAAAATTACATTTAAAATTTTGAATAAAAAAAATTTTTATTCAAAATTTTAAATGTAATTTTTAATATTTTTAACATGTTTGTGACAGTGTTCTTCAACTCTAGGACCAACTGAACATTTTCAATGTAGGTTTTATATGTTAACTTCCACCACTTGTACTAAAATAGGTTTTCCATTTAGGTGCTGATGAAGGTGACAACATATCACCGAAAATTTCACATATAGAATAAAGTTCTACACCAAACTGGCTTATACCATCTCTAGCTGATCCTTGTTTTGACGCTTTCCGAAAGTTATCCTCCAAAGAATTGTATTCTTAGCGTCGTTATACAAAACTGCTATATATATATATATATATATATATATATATATAATATATATATATATATATATATATATATATATATCGAAATCGAATATCCATCGTCAACATCAAATTTTAACCTAAAATTTAGTGTAACGTCAACACGTTGTGAGTAAGATCATAATAATATACAACTGTGTTGATAACATATTTCTGTTGGTGTAAGGACAATTTTGGTTGCTGATTGTTAATTATAAAAGATTAAGATAGGTAAGTACATTAATTTAATATTGCTGCTCAGTACGAAATGTATCGTAATGGGAAATCAATCTTGAATGGGATTATATATCACAACAGGTATTTTTACTGGGAAATATTATTCAGACAGGTATTACCAACTTCCTTCTTTTAGCATGGATCGAAAGAAACAGAAACTTACCGAAGATGTAGTTGATTACTTTACTAATAAGATTGATGAAATTGAAAGTATATACTATAGTAGTGATGATAGTATGGTGGACAAGGACTTCATTTTGTCATCAGATGAACTAAGTGAGGCAAGTTCACTTGAAAGTGAAGTGAATATAGGTAATAAAACTGAGAACACAGCTCAAATTTCAGATCAGGAATCCTCTGACGATGATGAAGATATCCAAGATGCAGACAAGGTCATGCAACTTTTGCCGCCAACTAGTACAGAATTTTCCGCTATTTGGATTGATGTCAATGCAGAAAATTTTATTCCGAGATATGATCTACCAGCCAGAACAGCCCCAGTGATTACAGATTAATTGAATCGAGACAGTTCTGCTTAGACTGTTTTCTAAAAGTATTTCCTAAAAGTTTGTTTATGTATATGGCCCAGTGTACAAACCGTAGGCTTGAAATTTTGGAAGAGAAAAAGAAGAAAACTTTTGTCAAAACGTGCCAAAAAGAAATGATGCTACTTACTGTTGTTACGTTAGTTACGCATTATATTAGAGTTCCTTCTTTCGCAATGTACTGGTCTAATACTACCTGCCACAGCAAATAAAACTTACTATGTAGATGATGTTATTTCCTGCTTAAAGACAAGATTTATGAGAGCTAGAAGTGATTCTACCTATCAAGCAATTGATGAGTCCTGCTGTCAGTACATGCATGAGTACTCAAATTTCATGGCAAGCTAGATCGGGGAGAATCGCAAGTAAAAGGTAATGAAACTGAAACATTAGCTATACGATGGCAGGACACAAAAGATTTTATTGTACTTACTAACTGCCATAAGCCAGAAGAAACAACTATGTGTAGAAAACTGAAAGATGGTACAAAAGCCAACATTTGTTGTCCTGTATCGATTAAATTCTATAACCGTTACATGGGAGGTGTAGATAGATGTGATCAAATAGTGTAGATGTGTAAGATCTCAATAGAAAATCCCAAAAATGGTGGAAGAAGGTTTACTACAAAGTTCTAATGTAGCAGTATACAATCCATATATTGTATATAGTGAGTTACATACCAGAATTATGAAAATACCCTTTCTAAATTATCTAGTTGACTTAGCTGAGATTCTTATCAGTACTGGCCTACAAGGACTTAGAAAAAAAAACATGTTGGCCGTCGAAGCCTGTCAGCCACAGTGATGAGTAATGGTGGCGACCATTTACCTATACATATTACGAAAATCCAGTCGCTTGAGGTGTATGAGGTGTACACAACATAAGAAAGATAAACGTACCAAATTTATTTGTAAAATGTGTGATGTTCCGTTATGTAGTGATTGTTTTACCCCATATAATATATAAACATTTATCGTTCATCTATACTGTTGGGATTATATATCCCATATAAAAATACTGTTGGGATATATAATCCCATGCATTTTTTACAAAAAAAAATAAAAAATAAAATTTTTTTAAGTGCATTCTTAGTTCTTTTAAATACTCTAGAACAACAAACTACAGACAAATATATCAAATTTTAAAATAAACAAATCAAGAGTGATGAAGGGTTAAAAAGGATCGTTTGCCCCGTAGACCTTTACTCTTTTCATCATCATCAATATTCTCAGCGTATTCTACCAATTATGGTGCAGCCTCTCTTACATAGTCGTTCTTCATTACTTCTTCGTTCTTAGCCTTCTATCGTCCATGTTTGGACATAGACCTCTCCCAACTCCTTCCATCGGTCTCTTTGTCTAGCAGTGTGGCCCGCGAAGCTCCATTTAAGTTTGGCTATTTTTGTTGTTATGTCCTCGACTTTTGTTTTTGATCTTCCCAGTCGTTCCTCTCTTTATCTGACAGTCGTATACCTAACATTGCTCTTTCTATTGTTCTTTCTGTTGTGGCTAGTTTATTCATGTTTGCCTTGGTTAGGGTCCAGGTTTGACATCCATATGTCATGATAGGAAGGATGCATTGGTTGAACACTTTGCTCCTCAAGTATTTGGGTATTTTACGGGTCTTAAGTATCCAACTGAGTTTTCCAAATCCTGCCCATGCTAGTCTTGCTCTTCTAGTAATTACCGCACTTTGGTTCTCTTTGTCAAGTTTCAGGATTTGGCCTAGGTAGATATATTCCTGGACTTGTTCTATCCACTGCCATTTTAGTTATACGTCTGGAGTTTATACATTTGTGTTTGTCATTATTTTTGTTTTTTTTTCATATTCATTTTTAGGCCGACGTATTGGGAGCTGCCTGCTAGTTCCCTCATCATAATTTGCAGTTCCTCGAATGTGCTCGCTATAATCACTATGTCGTCAACGAATCTAAGGTGGTTTAACTTGTTGCCATTAACGTTAATGCCATAGGTTGACCAATTTGTAGTTTTGAAGACGTCTTCTAGGGCTAGGTTGAAAAGCTTTGGCGATATTACGTCTCCTTGTCTCACTCCTCTCTTAATGACGATTGTCTATTATTCGCTTTTCTGTACCATGTTGTACCGGCTTGTTTCCTTGTATCATAGTCCCATCTTAAATTTGAACGTCTTTTTGGTCTCTTGATGCCTCTTGGATACCAGAATGTAATTCTAGTGGACCACCTAATGTCAGTTCTTCTCGATAAATGTCCTGCCCACTGCCATTTTAAAGATTTAATTCTGTGATATGGTATCCTTGCTTGTAAATCTTCCACTTTCCAGCGTAGTCACCTCCCTCCGGAACCATTGGAATCAAATCCAACCTCACAGTCCAGTATCATTTTTCTGAAAATTTCTTGGATTTATTAAAATTGACTTTCGACACCAATTTTGTACTTGACCTTATCAATGAGAGTACCAGAAACTTAGATTTCCGGGTTCCCTTTGTAAAGCGTTACGTCGACGACCTAATCCTAGCAACACAACCTGATAAGATTTTGAACACCTTATCAATTTTCAATACCTTTGATCCTCATCTCCAATTTACATATGAATTGCGAATTTTTTTTAGATATGCGAATCATTCGCACACAGGATAACACATTGGGCACCATTTTGTACAGAAAATAAATGGCAAGTAACCGTTTCTTAAATTACCACTCTACACACCCAACCAGATATAAACATACCCTAGTACAAGCCCTTAGAGTACATACGTTGACACATTTGCTATACAAAGATGAATCTCTGAATGTACTTAAGTCCATTCTCATTGATAACTAGTATCTTATCACTATCATTAATAAATATCTATTTTCTAAAAGTTACGTGCACTCTATTTCAGAAGCTCCCAATGGCAAAAAATTAGCGTTGATTTCTGATAACATACTGTTGATTAATTCACCGTCCATCCCAGAACGATCCACAAAATATGCTTCTCTCCCGTATCCCCTCAAATCACTAATAAGCTTACGAAACTCTTCAGAACTTACCTGTTACAATAGCCCTCCCTAAAAATCACCAGAACTGTTTTCGAAGACCAAAACTCCATTGACCTCTTTAGAACATACTAATGTTGTCTATCAGATACCCTGTGCAGAGTATAACTCCTACTACATTGGCCAGACCAGCCGCTCTCTTCACGGTCATCTAACTTCTCATAAAAGCGACATTACGATTTCCAAACCATCTTGTGCCTTATCATAACATGCCATCTCAACCAAACATGAAATCGACTTCACAAACGTCAAAATACTGAGCAAACAACAAAATGATCATAAAAGATATCTCCTAGAAATGTGCCATATTCTTAAACATCCACCGATCCTTAATAAATGAACTGACATCGATAATTTAAGCCAGATTTATCACTCTCTCATATTATACAATAAATAAGAATCCATCAAACCCC